ACATTATCCCATCGTAGGTTTGGAATTAATTACTGAAATATTCAATGGCATTTTAAAAGCGGTAAAATACCTGAAATATGAAATTAGCCTACATAAACTCAATTTACAAAACGTTGTAAAAAAGATTGTAATAATTATAGAGGGATAAGTGTGACTTATCTTGTGGTTAGACTGTATGACGAGTGCTAAAGAATAGAATTGAAATGCAAACATCAGTTACCAAGAGCAAAGTGTTTTAGACCAGGAAGATCATGTATTGACAATATTTCTGTCTCAAACAACTGATGGAAAAAACAATGACGAGGAAGAGACTTCACATAATTTTCATGACCTCAAAAAGGCTTATGATAATGTACCAGAAAGAAGTATGGGGCAATGGAAGAAAAGGAGTATAAACAACACATAAATGCAGTCAAACAACTTTATAAAGATAACAAATGTCAAGTAAAAGGGAAATGTCTATCAGCAATTTCCCAGTAAATAAAGGATTACGGCAAGATGCTGTAATCTCCAACCCTGTTAAGATATACATTGAAAAGTCCTGAAAAATGGAAAAAGAAAGGCAAAGCATGGGTGTGAAAATAAGTGATGAAGCATTGTTTGTCTACTATTTGCAAATGACCAGGTAAATGGCTGAAGATGAAGGATTATCTTATATGTTCAAAATTAGTAGAGAGTAGAAAATGGGATGGAAATAAATTTTACACAAAAACTGATATTTGAAGGGAGTATGCCCCAGATTAGAGACTAGTATAGGAAATTAAGGTAATACACAATATAAGCTTGGGAGTCAACTAACAGCAGATGTAGGACAACAGGATGTGAAAATAAAATATAAGAGAAAATCACCACAACAATTGAACCCAGTGATATGGAACTCAATTATTTCAATTCAAAACGCATAATATAGCTCGTCATAGAGAGAACACACTCTATGGGCAGAAGTCGGACACGAAAAAAATTGAAGAAATTTCAATCAACAGAAATGAGTTCTGGCGGAAGAGTGTTGTAAAACTTTTCCGTTAGATAAATAAGAAATTGATAAATAAGGAAAAAAATGACAAGTGCAACACTTGACACAACAATCGAAATGAGACACTAATGGTAATGACAATGAGAAGGTTGAGAATCGTGTAGACTTTTCAAAAGGAGTCGGAGATACCATCGAAGAAGTACAGGGAAGACCTGAGAAGAACATGGACCACATGGCAATAACCGATAGACATGGAAAAAAAGAGAAATGGAAGAAAACGATGTTTGGGATAAAGAGGCATGGAAATTGGGATGCGGAAAATGGCCAAGGCTGTAAAAAACCGCTAAATGGATAGATAGATAGATAGATAGATAGATAGATAGATAGGGTGACAAAGGTGAAGCGAATTCGAGACACCGGCGTTTCCTGGTTGGGTGCACACCGAGAAACCCCGGGTTCTAACGGCGCGGAGGAGAATTACCCTTTACGAGACATGCAATGGCGACATACAAATACAAATTAATCCCCACACTTGAAAATTAATCTTCGCTTGTGATTAATGAGCTATCTTTGCTTCGCTAATCATTACCTTACACTTATATTAAAATGTGCCTCACACACACACACACACACACACACACACACACACACACACACACACACACACGCTCCTTCGCGATGCACGACGAGAACGATCACTCGACTGCCTTCAACAAATTGTTTGCATCTTGCACAACAAAGCATGGTGGAAAGTGATTGGTGGTCTTTTGCGTATCGTAGCCGACTAAAGTCAAGGAGCTTCAGGGAACAATTTGCATCACAATATTAGCGGGAATTTTAAATGCCAAAATTTTCACCTTGTTTCAAACCATTGAGACAGATGTATGAAGCACGTTTTAAAAACATATAGCATATTTTATTTCAATTTCACCTTCATCGTGTTCTTCTTCATTGGTCACAGTTGAAAATTGTCACTTTGTGCCACTTTCAAAATGTTTCTCTACACTTCTCGCTCTCTATGCAACATGGGGAGACATATCTCTCCTCCAATAGAAAAGTGACCAGTGCGAAATCGTCATTTTTCAGATAAAAGCTGATAAGAAGTTACCAAGATGTACTGCTACTATTCTGAAGTTGATTTGGAATTAGTTCAATTACTGTCCGCTAGAAGGTGGTGGTACATTATATAACGAGTATTACAGAACTACGAAACTTAAAATAGCAATTTCTGAGAAATCAGAAATTTACACTTGTGTCACTTTTCTATTGGAGGTGCGATATCTGGTCTGGCTTTCCAAAGGAAGTGCCCGTGTGTGGTCACGTGGTCACCATAATTTATTAGACAGAACTAACACCGGTAGCCGCGAGCAATAAAGAAACACTTTACAGCGTGTCATTTATCGGGAGGCTGCAAATTCGATCCCGACTAGGTGCACTAGAAATGCCAGGCATTTCTTGGCGTCATCAGTGGGTTTGTGATATCAACCTGAATCTAATTCGTAGATCTACCGCTCTGATCTGTAATTTATCGCGTTTCCACGATTTCCGTGGTCTGAAAGCAAATGCGAGAGCACCACCCAATTCTACCACCCCTGGCCACAGGCCATGCGCGATTCTACTTTCCCTGACCCGCAAAAATCACTTAATGATACATTAAGGTGACTAGTAGATGATGGGAACAGATGAAATCATTTTTCATTTTTTGCATTCACAGTTATTCATTGTTGTTTACCTCAACACTTAAGCATCGTCTCACTTTTATCTCTAATGCTTAAAATTGAACTTTAAGCACACTATGTATGCCTTGAAAAAACAACAAGTTTACAAGTGGCTGTCTAAAAATTACTTTACTTGGACCTCTAAGATGCCTCTCTCTGCATACACGTACGAAAACTCAACGTTTGTACATATACGACCATATAAGTGGGTTAGTGCAATGATTTTTAAGAGAATTCGAAATTCTGCTTACTTCACCCGTGCCACTGAGCGAGGGTGCATGGAAGAGCACAATCCGACGAAATGTACGAGTAATAGAATAGTCGTAATAGTCGTAACAATATATCTCATTTTGTACAGTGAGCAACGTAACACGATGCTTAAAAACCAGGTACCATTTTCAATCATTACACGCGTTATTAATAGACGCAGATACCAGGAAAGATGGCTCAGGGCATCATTTGATGTCACTGCAATGCCTCTGACCTAGGGAGTAGGATTTTCGACACTAGCTAGACAGCTAGGTCAAATTCAACCGCTGTCTGGAGGAGAATTGTAGTGACCGAATGATATGATCCATAGTTTTTTGTGGTTTCCCCAATCAACATGAGGCGAATACCGGAGCAGTAGCCTAACAAATGGGCCTCGGAGCGCGCATACTCTTTCCTTTCTCTTCCTTGCAGGATACTCAACCACCAAATATCTGTACACACACTCACCGCACTTGTCAGGAATCAAATAGGGAGCTAGAAGCTTGTACCGGATGCGGCGATGCTGTGCTGCTGGGAGACACAGTTGGGAAAAAAATCCCACAACATCTAGCGGGAGATCATCGCCACCTTTCGAGGGAAACATAAGCAATACACTTACGGGAATAATGCAATTGATGCGCCCGAAATCACTAATCAATCAACAAGACGCATACAGTTTTTTAATGTTTTTACTGGTTCTTTTTGCGTCTGCCTGTAAGACACTCTATTCAATATAACTAAAGAATGACATGGAAGCTTCAGACTGAACTATTTCAAAGTAAGATGGATCAGAATAAAAAAAAATCATGTTATTGGTTGTAAACGTTTTGTAGGGGCGTTAGGTATCCATTCATTTTCAGATAGCAATGTTTTTGAGGTTGATTGCACCTCTCTCAAGAATTATTTCATGACATAAATTCTAAAATAGAAATTGAGAAAAATGTAATTTAGTTTGGCTTCCGTGAGAGCATAGCTTTTCGCCTAGATCATATATTCATATTCACATCACATTTTAAAATAATAATAGCCTTTTAAAACGTAAAAATACTAGGATATTTATCAACCTTATTCATGTAAAAATTCTTCTTTACGTTAATACGTTTCCCTCGCAGCTTTTATTTGATTCCAAACTTGGCATTAACTAGTAAGAAATGGTGGGAAAGATCGTACATTTTTAATATCAACATAAATTCAGAAGATTAATTCAATCTATTAACATTTTGTAAAATGTAAACCATGTCAAATTAAATGAAATTAATATATTTTTTAAATGACATTATATATTATTTAGAACACTTAACATCTTTTTAACTTAAAATATCTTAGAAAGATTTTGTGTAAATAGGAGAATGTATCTTCAATGTAAGTTCAGAAATCACTGTAATTAAATCGGAGAATAATCATGAAAAACTGTAATTTAATTTAATTTTTAATCCTCTTCTAATGTTGGAGTTCCAGAGGTGCTTTTCGTTCTGTTCTCTTGTGGCAAAGTGGCCACTGTAGTGATATTAGGTAGGTTGCATTGTACTACGCGACGATCCACAGAGTTTGTGTTGAACACTCGGAACACGGACTTTCGCCTAGACGAGGCGTTTGGAATGTAGAATGGCAAAATTCTCTGTAAAAATAAATCCTCCGACCAATACTGCTACATTTAGACTTAATATTTTATTTCAAATTCTAGAAGGCATGGTAGAATTGTAACATGATGTGAATTTGAATAACAGACTTACTTCACATAACTATAGTGAGTTTTGAAGATTTCGGGTTTAAAACTTCAAGGATGTTTTGTGACTCACATGCTTTTGTGCAACTGTCCTCTTCTTAGCCATTTTATTGAGCCTTCCCCTGCAAAATTTGGAAGTCTCCGACATTTCCCAAGAATAACAAAATGGCTGTTTAAATTCATGATACTGATACATTAAAACTAAATCTTATCAGTGAACAAAACATTTAATTTATATTTTAAAAAATTTATTTCATAGAACAAAATGGAAATTTTGATACTATTTCAAAATCATTATCTTAAAATTTTAAATTAATTCCAATAATGTATTTTATGGCAATGATCTCCCGAAATCTTCAACTGGAACACAGAAAGGATTTTATATTGAAAAATTGACAACAGTAGTCATAAAATACACGATCAGAAAATTGAAGATAATACCATTAATGCCAATCACAAGTAAGCGAGGAAAAGATAATGAGGCACTTTTTAAAGAGAGATTCTACACTTAATGCTCATACGACTTCATTATTTTGTTGCATGGATGAGAAACAATAGTGCTTCCTGAGTGTACACAACTGAATACCATCCATGCTTACTTCTTTCGTCTGAGCAGTCAAAAATTGATTTGAAAGCAAAGCGACGCAGTGACGCTGCTTGTGTTACCTTTACATTGAAAATACAACGGCGCGCCATAAAAACTAATACTTTCCAGTGATTTAATTGATTTTCCTACTACAATTATCAACCTTATTCCTGTTTAATAGTTAAATTTAGCAACAATATTTCCCAATTTTTGTCTTTTAAAAAACAGTGAACGCATTATTAGAAAGCTTCTGTAGTAAAGTAGATCACAATACCCGGAATTTTGTAACAAAATATAGAAAAAAACTTTCGAAGTTTCCTCCCTCACTTACATGTGGTCTTTTCTAATATATTAATAGGCACTGCAATCGTTTAATGCACAAATGTGAATGCGATTTTTGAAATCGAAATGTATGATTTCCAGCATGAAGTATGACGACTCATCGGACACTTTTTCAGCCCTGGATATTTTGAGAGATAAGTTCTATTACTTAATTTTAATAAATGCTATTCTATACGTCGCGTGTCGATTGTTTACTGTACATTCGTTTCTTTTCGAAATACGTTAAATCACCGTCTTTTAGTTATCTCGACTTTATTAATAATGAACTTCTTAACTTTCAAAAGGTACACACGGCTTTGAAGGAACCCGTTTCCCTTTTCAACTTACATTTTATTACGAAGACGAACTTTTGTTTGCTTCGGCTGCTTTTTGAAAACTCGAAATGTTCACGAACGAAACAAAAGATGATGCACATCATTAAAACTTAACTTTCCATTCACGTACAGTCTAAAACTAATATCACAATTTGCGAGTAGACGCGTGAAAATAATGAGAAATTAGAATTTGGATAAGGCATGAAATTGTCAGATGTTTTTATAACGCGATATATCGGCACTTATGGTTCTCTTGACGAGTAATTCCAAATGTTTATCATCACTGATCGCATTATTAGAAATAAAAGAAATTAATTATTTGTCCCTAAATAGTACACGATGAAAATAATGACAATTAGTTTCGTTGAATTAAGTACCAACGTTTAGATGTACGTATTTCTAAGTAAACATTCATAATATTTAACAAAGAAAGGGGAAATAATACATTTCACTAAATTTCTTCTTTTTTCTAATTACGTTTGTGTTTAGTCCAACTCGATTTCGAAATTGGTACTTCATTTTGAATCATCTTTGGCAGACATTTCGCTTGGGGATTTTCAATCACGACCTCCAAGCGCCTTCTTCTAATACCAAACTTTATTATCCAGCGCCAACTTTTCATTCTCAGTGAGAACATCAATTCACTCATGTCAAAAATGCCCTCGTTTTCCAAGAACATTCAATGACCATTTTTGTACGCGATAACCTTTTGCTTTGCTCGTTTGTGATCAATGCCGGCTTTTGCTGGATCGGCAGCTCCTTCAGGATTCTTCCGCAAAAGGAAGGATTGATGAGCCGCCGTTGACAAGCACCTGAGCAAACTCACGTCTGGAAAGAGGAGAAAACTTTTAGAATACCGAATCGCGCAAAAATAAAATTTCGTAAATAATACTACAATAATTACAAGTTTGCTGTAATGTTTGTAGTATATAATGTTTTACAAAATAGCCGTATAGCGTGCCAGGAAAGTCTCTCCAAAGAGGCACCTTCCTCTCGAAGTGCTTGCAGAAGAAATTGTGTTGGTAGCTCGAGCTGCAGCTTGAAAACGTAAATTGCGTATCCACCACAACCATAGCTGGAAGTGTTATTCCCTTCACTTGTTTCCCAGTGATCAGGTTGCTACCAACATAAATACAATATTTAATAGGAAGCTCTGCTTCGGCTCGGCGCGGATAGGCTTTCTTGGCGCACTGTGCTTCGTGGCAAGTAATACGAATATATCTATATCAAATAATAGAAGGGCTTAGTGCAGTAACAAAATAAGCTACCTCTCACAGCCAACGTCCCGCTATTCGTAAATGTTAATATCTTGATTTTAGTTGAAAAGTCCTTAAGAAACATGAACAAGATACAAACTCGTCGAATAAAATGACAAGACACGAAAGAATACATTATTTTCAGAAAATGTAATATCGCCATTTTATTCAGAATATGGTTTGAACATCGTTGCTAGTGAAGAAGCCACGACGCGGATGTTATTGATAAACACATTTCCGGAGATGTGACATATCTGAAGTAAACAGACAATTCCATGCATATATTATATTACCGAGAAGCGGATATGTGACTCACCAGAAACAATGCTCAAACAATATTCTGAAGAAAATAGTGAGCTTACATTTTTTGCCAAGAGTGCAGATGTGCTATTTAGAATGAATGAATTCAATTGTTTCTTTAATATGATGAGCCGTGCTCTTTAAACAAATGAACGGACATCTGATTATCAGTTGATTATGTTATTTTGGAAAATAAAGACATAAATACAGCCACTGTGACACACGTACACGAAACAATTGAACTTATTTAAAATCACTTCGGCTTCATTAAAGAGAACGCTAAAGCTATGATTGAATTGTTAAGAAATTAAAATTGTTTGTGAGGTGTGTAGTATATATAATTAATATGTTCAAAAAGTATGCATCTACATTAATACGTAGATATGTCAAAAAACCTTTCTGGATATAACATTTATGAGAGATGAAATAAGCACGATTTAAATGTCTAGAAGAAGAAAACGGGACAATATCAGTTATTTTGTAGATCAAACTGAAGTGGACGAAAACAACGGAGAAGGGAGAGACGATTGACTCAGAAGCCTTTAACAATGGTTTTTATAAGTAGAAATGTACAATATTTACATTTATGTATATTAATCTGTGAACAGTGTGTGTGTGGTATGTACGTATGCATGAGTGTGGTGCATTCCCCTTTAAGTCACTATGAAATATTTAAGAACATGGTGAAGGCTTTCACTCCACCTCCGCCACATGGAAGTTGGAGTTGAAGCAACTGGTGATGTTTTTGTTATAGTACGCACAAATCTGTGTTTCGAATTACTATTCCAGATGTAGAAGGAAGATAATTTTTTGTCTTCAACTCTCCTAGATGGCCGACTAGGCGAAGACTTCACAAAATGGGAAGACTCGGAATAAACGTTAGAAACTTCTAGGACATGTATCGTGGTCGAAGATAACTTTTTGCCAACGAACACGTGGTCTGAAATTGTCACATAAAGAAGTTACACATGTTACATTTGCCCTGTGTTGTTAGGCAACACTTCATTTCACGTTCAGGTACATGAAATCTTTCACCACGTCAAATCGTGACCGGACGAACACTAGTACATGGAGAAGTACCAATCAGAAGCCACACTAGGAGGATGCCATCAGGTACTATCAGGATACGAATCAGGGGCAAATGACACATTGGTAACTCCAATACATGAAAATTTCCTACCACAAGTTCATTATCAAAAAGCGATTGGCATTGATTCCCCTTCATGCCCTAAACGTTTGTAACATTAATTCTGACATTCTGTAATGCGCTTTTTCGCTTCCTCTCTTCCTTCGTTTTAATTCTGCAACGAACTTCCCTTTACCTGCAGTTTTTGCCGCTGATGCGTGGCCCCCGCGTCGGGCGCGGGCGCGGGCGTGGGCGCGGGCGAGAGCGAGAGCGAGGGCGTGGGCGAGGGGCCGAGGGACGGGGAGAACTGCAGGGGCGGCAGGTGCTGCGGCAGGAGCGCGTGGGCGGTCTGGTCGAAGGCCGGCGGCGGCGAGAAGGGCGGCGGGGGCGGCGACGAGGGGTCGGCGTCGGCGTCGGCGTCGGAGGAGGAGGTCGGGGGCGGCGACGCCGGCTCCTCCTCCAGCGTGAGCAGCGGCCGGTGCAGGGGCGACGCCGGCGCCGACCGCACGTACAACGGCGCCGGCAGCGCGTCGGGCGCCGAGTGGCGGCGCGGCGGCGGCGCCTGCCAAACCAACGACAAAAATCACATCCACATTCACTACATAAAGGGAAAGCCATTTCAGCTGGAAATAAATCACAAGATGCACCTCTAAATTAGATTAATAATAGTACATTCTGAAACGAGAATGTAATGTTGGGTATTGATGAAAGTGTGTGATACAACAATACGAGCGAAGAACGTGTGTGTATCGTAAACTTTACACGAATGTATTGGGCCCATTACATCCAGTTTTATACGGTACTACGTCTAAGACTTGTGGTAACTTTTTAAGTTAAACCTTTACATTGAATGGTTTCGTGACAGTTGACATGCAGGATTCAGCCAAGGTTACCTAGCAGTCCGCTTCCGAACTTGCCAACTGCAAGAGGCTGCCGCGCAAGTGAAATAGGATCGAAGTGAAATTGCGTTACAATTTATTTTAAATAATATTCTGCGTAAAAATACTAATAATACAAGATATTCAAATTGACAAATATAATACAATATTAAATGCAATTTTAATGTAGATAATCAAACGAAACATAAACTAGAGCGTTTCTCAATGATCGTCTGAATGTCGTAACTTGTTTTTTTTAAACTTCTCTGTGATTGATCAAGATCCTGAATCATAATGAAATCTGTATAATATTGACATTAGAAAAAATGGGAGTAGATTAATGTTTCTAATGCCATTTGGCTGAGAAAGTTACGTTTCTGCACGGCACTTGACGAATTCTCTTCTTCAATGACTCGAGATGATTGGGCTTATATCGAGAACTGTACACGATTGTTTGAAGTATTCCCATAGAAAACCTATATTGTTGACTCGAATTAAGTTCTACCGAAGAAAATTTCAATTTTGCGAATTGACGGATCGTGGTCGACGAATTACGACACGCGAGAGACGTTGGCCGTGCGATTTGGCCAGAACCTCAACCTGACAACCGTCCACCAGAAATGCAGTGCACTTGCTGTTCGCATATAAAATGAAGTCTGCATGACAGTGTGCATGACAGTCTAATTTTGGAAACTCTTATAAAACAGCGGTGATATAACGGCAGTGTCACAATTGATAAACTAAAAAAATTCCTAAGGGAAACTGCTTCAGAGACCAAAATTATAAAGCGATGATTTGTTGCTGATATTATGGAGAAAACGTTGGTGTTTTTCCCATCTGAAAAAAAAAAGTTTTGTTACCATATCAAATAATACATTAATTCTATTTTAAACGTCGTTTTTACCCAAAAAATGTGAATTCTATAAGTACTAAGTAAGAGTATCACAAAATTTGATTTTTGTCAGCTTCAGTGATAACACAACCACTTTACGATTAAACAATTGTTTTGTTAAGTACAGTTAACTTCAGATTAACTGCCTGAGAATATTCAATTTACTTTTTATATGATAATTCCGTTATTCAATAAAAATCTAAAATGGCAGAATAAGACTAAGTAGCTGGCTTTTGAATACGCACTATACCAACACGAAAAAGTCAAAGAATGTAAGAAAATTGACACGTTGATAGAGAATGGTTTAACTAGAAATCAGAAGAGAAATGGAAAGAGACACGAGGGTGGGCGGTGTCGGATATTGCGTTTCTGGCTTAAAAACATCTACACGTGCCATTTCGTGCGGCTTGATATTTCTTCAAAAGGAAACACCACATCTGGCGCCTCATTCCCGTGTTCTGCATTTGCCTACTCTTATTTCTTGCTTTCATAACTCACCCACTTTGTTCTTTCCTCTCTGACTTAGCGCGCGTCCTCGGCATTTGTTGGCGCCTTTCTGTAGTGTTATGCAATAAAATTATTAATACAAAAATAAATTGAAAATGTCCCAGGGGTTTCGTATACAACGTATATAAAGTCTTCATCTACAGTTTAATCAAATAAATATTTTCAGAATGGGAAGGACTCAAGACTGGCAAGATCAGATAATATTCATTTTGTAAATAAAATCCTATGAATTATTTAGTCGATAGTGTTGTTTACAGGCGGGCAGACAAATGGACGGACGTTTAAATAATACTTATTCGGTATCCGAATACCCCAAAACGTGTATTTTACTGGAAATCCCAAAATCGCTTTTCCGCAAAATTGCAAACCTGTTTCTATACTACGTGCATTACCATGCATTACTTTGTATATACGTACGTATGCGAGAAAGTAAAATGATATGAATTCAACAGAGCCTAGAATTAGATTCAAAAATTCAATACGGCCCGTTCAGAAAGGAAATGAACTTGGTTGAAGTGTGAGGAAGGAGAAGTCAGCGTTATTATGAAACAAATGGACAAATTATTAAAATAAGCTTCCACGTATGACAATTCATCATCAATGTGAAAAAAAAATTACAAATAGTAGCATTTACGAGAAGCTGGATGCACTTTCCGAGTGTACAAATCTTATTTCAGGACATATTGTTGCTGCAAAAGCAAAATAGTTTTTTGAAATTGTACTTTTAAAAAGAACATCATCGTCTGAGTTGTTAGGACGATTTAAGCAATGATGCTGGATAAGATATTGAACCTCACAGAAAACATTAACTGGAAGTGAGAAAGCAGAAGATTGTAAAGTATATGTCTAACCATTTTTCTCCTGTCATTAAGTAATTATTCAATAGAAATATTCCAAAGCAACCTTTCGGAATTTTTGGAAGTGCTTGCCGACTCATACCCTGGCAATAATTGCCAAATTTGTAAAAGAAAGATAAGAAGTCCTGGATAAATATATGAAATTTTATTCGTTAATACCGCATGACTGACCGACATGCGACACTGCACCGGAATTCATTTTTTGGAAGAATTTGATGTGACAAAATGGTGTTAAATCCCAAAGAAAGGAAATATATACAACTGAAAGAAAAAACGTGACAGATTTTTACGAAAAAGTAAATCTGTGAATTAATTTATTTCGTGTACGTATAATGAACATTATACAAATATTTATTACATATTGATTTGTTATTTTGTGCATTATAGTAAAAGTTGTTGAAATGCATTTTCGTATTCATTTGGGTTCTTTTTCATTCACTTTGTGGATTATCAGTGGCAATCGCGTCTTTCGTGATTGACAGGCCAACATATTCGAGGGATAATCGAGTTAAAATAAAAATTGAAACTGATTTCAAAAACAGGCCATGTCCCTTCGTTACGATAGAATATTAGTGAGCACGTTGTGAATATTTGTTATTGGGGAAGGGAACGCTGAAGCCTCATCAGGGTACACGGTTGACAGTGACCGAATGGGCTCAGGAACCACATCAGCGCCATGAATGTGATCTGTAAGGTCTGGTACGTATCTCGGTGGCTGTACCGAGAATTAAAAGACACAGCCGTGGGAGACGTGCGACGGTCTCCGGCCAGTTTGTTAGAATACTGCTCGAGAATTAGACGTATTGATCGGTGAAACCTCGCGTGGTGTTTCGGTCTTGAACAATTTTTCATTTCCACAGCATTCGAATAGTGAACTTACATACACATAACATACTCATATGTTGTAATGGATGTGGAAAAAACGTTGATGTGCATTTCGTTTAAAATTGAATTATCATTAATTGCATCATCTTGTGATTGATTATAGCTCTCGATACATTGGTAGTATCATCCAGTTCTTCTCATTCATATGTTGGAAGCGAGCGGAGTAAAGACAAAATGACGCGACGGCTTCATTCGCTGGCTAGTAATTTGTGATTCATGAATATGTCGCGTTTAAATGATTGCAGCTCGCAATGCTGTCATAAATGCATTATTGATTTTTTCCGTCCGAAACCCTCGGATGAATGAAGTTGTCACAGTTGCTCATAAAATATCAGTCTCGTCACACAAACTCAATCTGAAATTTAGTTTCACTTTTAGATTCAGCATTAGAATGCTGCATCAGGAAGAAATAACACCTTTTCGCCGACTGAGCATCCGGCAGGAGCGAAGGCAGAGCAATGATCTTTAAGACAAGGAGAAAATGATGAAAACGGCTGCACATTTTATGAAATACAATGTAATGGGTTAAATTTAACCTCTCAAGAGATTATAACCAACATTTGCGATAACTAAATGGATGACCACGATTCTGCCATCTTGACACACGTTGCTGGAGGTGATACTCAGACGTGGAGAGAGACAAAGATTCGACATCGCTAACGAGCGACGTAAAGTTCATGATCGGCTGATTCGAATTTCTCTGGTATTTGGTAATGAGCGCGTAAAAGCTAAAAAGTGAAGTCCCATGATGGAGATTTTAAAGAAATGATTATACTTCTGGGACTGAAGTTGATTTCTAGAAATTACGGTATTACCTTGAACCTCTCTATCCGTTTTTACATGCCATCTTTTTTCATCTTATCCATCATCTTTTATCCTTCCTGGTTTTCTTTAAGGAGGATGCCAATTAACTAATCTTGCTATCTTCCCTATCATTCGAAGAACAATACTGGACTGTTCGATTGTTACTTCTCCCCCACCAGTTTCCCCCACTTCTTTATGTTTTTATTACAGTTTTCTGTATATCCTTGGAGATGGATTTCTTAAAAATATATGCATGAGTATTAAGAATGTAAAAACTAAAAAAAGTATTGTAGGGGAAATAATTAAAAAATCAATTTTAGATTATGTTCATTATAAACCATTAGGGTGGTTTGGTCATATAAACCGTGTGAAATTAAATAGTATATAAAAACAAATATTTAATTGCACTCTACTGGGATTAAGAAGATAAAAGAATGACTCAAAATACATGGAATCAAAAAATTTATAAATTGCCAGAAATAAGTAATTTGAAAGACGAGAACAGTTATGATAGGGTGCAATGAAAAAAATAATATCTTTATTCACGTAATTTTGTAATGTTGAAACAGAAATATGGTTCATTTCATGGGATACCTGTTAAATAAATAAAACTGTCTTTCATCCCAAAAGTTTACTACCACTACATATATATTACTTTCAGCCTGGAATTTAACACTTGTGTATTGAAATCAAAAGTCAAAACAGTCTCATCAGAATCTCAAATTCGTTGCTACAATAT